ATTATCAGGAGTAGAATTGGAGATTTTAGAGTGACAGACTAAAATCCTCAATTCGGTCCTATCGTTTGGGTACTGAAGTGTAGATATTAGCCCTCAGGCGAGGGGAACGTGGGAGCTCCAAAGTGAGAGCTGGTATTCTCTCAGCCTAGCCGCAGATTCAGTTACCATGCATAAGATTAGTTAATGTTCTTTATGCATTGTCCAAAGGGTAAAGAATAGATATGCTCCTATTTGGCACAATACAATTTGAACTGATTGAATTTATTTATTCACTTAAATTTCTTGACAAGGAGAATGATGTTTTCTTATATATTGAACTTCACATTAGAAACTTTATTAGTAGAATTAGTTAATTAAGAGTTTATTAAAATTATATTTTTATTTCAATTGCCTATTAGTGACAAATATGCAATTTGAACTATATTGTTGTGATTAAGTATTAATTTTTTAAATCTTAGTTCGTAGCCTCTAATATTACTCCCTGTGAGATCGATATCAGCCACTCCATTAGAGCCCTGTATTACTTGAGTGATATGTATACTTGTGTTGATAAGTGTGACTTTACAATTATTGAATATTTTATACACATCTTTATCAAATCTATAATCGTGATCAAGTTTTTGGCGTCGTTACCAGGGATTTAAATCATCTAGCAGTAGTATCAAATTCTTGTATTTTTAAGCATATATAAAGTCGTTGTCATCTACCATTGTGCAAACCCTAGCATAATCAATTAGTTCAAGCATTTGAAATATATTTCTTATGTCATTTTTAGATAGACTGAGAAGAATAAAAGATTAAGGTACTATAGTTAAAAAAAAATATTAATAACAATAAACATGTTCATCATCTTTAGCATCATCATCATTTTCATCTAATCTAAAATCAAATTGTAGAGTATTATTAGGTGTTGTCACACTAATAAACCTTACGTATATTTTGCCCATTATTATTAGTTTGTCTTCTTATTATTAAAAGTATTCAATGGACTTGAAAATGATGACATGATAATTTTTTTGTAATTAACGCATAAATAAGAGAATGGTTTTTAATGGATATAGTGGAGGAATTTATGTCATATGTTTTAGTTCACCATACTGATATATTTCTTCCAAGTTCAAGATAAACTGGATCTCATCAATCTATATAATTATGTCTATGAGATCTTTGAAGGTAATAATGCATGGAACTATCAATCTCTTACGTTAATTTTCAATAAAGCTATAAACTGCATGGTTATCTCACTTAAAATTTTCATTTTGATTAATAAAAATTTTCCTTTAATAAAAAAAAAACTTTGATATCTTATTTTTATTATCCACCACATAATAAAAGAGTATTGAAGTTATTTGATTCACTTGCAATAGAAGAAAATTGCTCTAAATATAAATACAAGAACGATATTATCTAGTTTGTTTAAGGTTCAAAGTTGGCATAAATAAAGGTCAAGTCATTTTCAAAGTATTTGAAACCACATTTCAATTGATATTAAAATATGCTAAAAAATTCAAATAGCTTTTGTTCAATGATTGGAAGAAATTCAAATATGGTTTAAATATGTCAAACATTGTTTGAGATCAACAAACAATATATGTTCAAACTAGGTTCAATCCTTTATAAAACTGATTTGAACTATTCAAAGAAGTTTTAAATTTGTTTGATTTATAATCAATAGAAGTTCAAATCATATTCATATATTATTGAAATAATATACGAATAAGATGTGAAAAGACTTGAATAAGGTTTCAATAAGATTCAAATGACAAAAATGTTCGAGCAAGTTTTACTCTTTATTAAATCTATTTATACCTTTAGTAACATTATATTTTTGTGTTTTGATTAAATTGATTACCTTTTTGTATAAACTTTTCTACTCTGATCAATAAAAATCATTAAAAATTTATCAATAGACTGCCCATATCTTGAAATATTGAAGATACTAGTGAATGTCAAAGCCTTATTCAACTACTCCATTAAAACTTATAATCACCATCAATACCTTATTTCTCTACTATAAGAAGAAATATATGAAAGAAACAAGGAGAAACTACACAACAAAGGAAAGTGAAAATGCAAGAATATTTGAAAATTTATTTTATTAGCAGGGTATATTCTAAGTGAAAAGTTTGAAAAAAAATGCCTTCTTTATATATAAGTGCATTTTTTTTATAAAAATCAATTTGGGGTATATTTGCCCATGTAAATTTAAATGAAAGATTCTAGTCCAAATTAGTAAATATAAAAAAATAAACAAAAATCAAATTTCCATTGATCATTTAGACTTTATTTTGAGCTTATTTTGACATCTAAAACAAAGTATAAATTCACAATTAATAATGAGAGTTAATTAAATAGCCTATTAATAAAATAAATCAACAAATACTATATGCTAGTCATATTAAAAAAATTGAATGATTTATTAGTGACATTCTATGCCCAAGCTAATATTAATATAATAGCAAAAATAATTAGAATTTTTTATTGATAAAACCCTATAGTTTTTTATATTTATTTCTATATTATCTATTATTATAATAATTATTGGAATATTATCATATCTTAATAAGTCCTTATTTATTATACAATAACAATTAGTGCACTTAAATAAATTCAAATAATAAAACGGCATATTACTAATCATTAAAACAAATAGGTGCTATCAAATCTTGGATAAATACATCAATCAAATTTTAAAAAAAAGACATTTACCAAAATGCCCCTATTGTTGCCATTTCAGTATATGCTTCTCCCTCCTCTGTCTCTCAAGACTCTATTGAAATAGACACCTATCTTGCAACTAGCGTAGGCTCCTTTCTCTTTGACGTCAAACCATACTTCTCTCTCCTCAAACACCGAGTCCCAAATCTCATTTACTAACACTGTGCTCTACATCCCATCCCTTTTCACCAAAAACGCAAAAAATCCTTCATTCTCTCTCTAGAAATTCTACCTCTGCAGACTTAAAATACACATTTCTCCTCTGTTTTATTCCCTGTGCCATTTTCCTCTTTTGTACACTGAAATTCCTTACATCCCTGCCCTCCAAGGAACTAAGTATTAATCATTAATTACACATCTCTCCCTCCCTCTCTCTCTCTCTCTCTCTCTATGGGTCTGTGCACTCCATATTACATCCATTGATATCATAAGGCACTCATGAGCTAATCACAACTCATTTCTCTATATTTTCACTTTCTTCTCTCATTTGTAACATCATTCTCCTCTCCAATGACAACTGCAACAACACCAACCACCATTCCTGACCTCTCTCTTCAAATCAGTCCCCCAGAGATGATCAATTCAGCAGCTTTGTATGGATCAACTAAGACCAAAATCAATGGATTCAAGAGAAGTTGCAGAAGTGTGCATGGTGGGAAGAGAAGTGGTCGCGCGCCGCGTATGCGGTGGACCACTTCGCTCCATGCACACTTCGTTCATGCTGTTCAGCATCTTGGCGGCCATGAGAGTATGCGTGTATTTTTGTAAAAATGAATTTTTTTTGGTTGGTTTATATCAAATTTTGATTTTTAAGTTTGGTATGCAGGAGCTACTCCTAAATCTGTTTTGGAGCTGATGAATGTGAAGGAGCTGACTCTAGCACATGTTAAGAGCCATCTGCAGGTGTGTTAATTTTGCTTTTGGTGATCGGTTAGGGTTAGGGTTAGGGTTTTCAGTTTGAGGATTGAAAATAGTATCAATTAGAAGTACAAGTAATACTGTCAATTGCTTGATTGTTCTTCTTATTTTTCAGTATCTTTAATACTTTTGTATTTTTTTTATCTGGGTGTTTTTCTTCAGATGTATAGAACTGTGAAGAGCGCAGACAGAGGAGGGCCTGCCACCGGTATATCATTTTTACCATTTGTCTTTCACATATAGTTTTCGTATTTAGCTATGTGTATAATAATTATATATGTGCCGCAAGCCTTGGCCTGGTGGTGGCGAGGTCACTGTACGTCCCCTCAGGTCAAGAGTTCGATCCCACCGTAGCGCGGGGCTCTGGAATTTTAGACACATGATGCGAGTTTTCATCATGGAGCCAAAAAACACATGAGAAATCGATATTTGAGCTTCTGCCTAATATCCTGAAATAATAGTAATTATTATTATTATTATTATATATATATAGAGAGACTAAAATATATAACATCTAGAGGACATATATATATATAATATATGAGAAAATGACCTAAAAATTTTTCGAAGGCTCATCGGTGGTCATGTTGCATTAATATAAAATCAAATAATACAAAAAAAAAAAAGCTATAAAACCTACACAAAACCAGCAGCATGGTCGGCATCATCCGCCACCGCACAAAAAAATCAGGATCACAAGAATGAGAATATCTCCGAACCTAATATAACTTCAACATACAAACATATAAAGAATTTAAAGAATTGTTCATTACTTCTACTGTGGAAAAGTCATGGTTGCAGGCTGTGGTGTTTTCCTTTGCTGAATTATTTTGTTGGGTGGCCAAAGAGATTTGTAAGGTTTGGCAACGTAGCTTTTGCTGATGTGAAATGATTTGCAGGACAAGGCCTAGAGCAGTCAGAAATGGGGCTTCGTAGAAGGACAAGTGTGGAGGAAAGACTGCCTTTTGATCAAAATGCTGCAGGAACCAATTCTTCTTTTTCTCTCACAGCTCCAACTCCACCTACACCTCTTCCCAGGTCCACTCTAATCTTATTTAACTTAAATAATATTTGCCATTTGTGTGAAATCCCAAGAAGCTGACAAAATCTATTTTGATAAAATACTTAAATTTGCTGGGTTAGAGATCAAAACTTGGAAAATTTATTTCATAAGGACACGGTTTGTAGAAATGTATATGATGTCTGATCTCCATCGTTCATCGCAACAAACATGTATTTTGGTGGCTCCATTTTTAATTTTATTTTTTTAAAAAAAATCATCGATGGCTCGATTGATGGTGGAGACCGGACACCTATTTTTTTCCAAAACTTGAGATTATGTGATAATACAAGGCTGGAGGATTTGAATATTAAATGTGAAAATGATGAATAAATTAGTTATGGTATTGACTGGCCACTAGCTATAGATGTTCTGGGTACAGAATGAATTGATTCATTGTTGACCGTTTATGCCAAAGACATGATTTTTATATATTTTTGATGGCAAAGTTTTCAAATTTTAAATGCCACACTAGCTTACTTAAAAAAAAAAAAAAAAAAACTTTGCATTTATAGTTGTTTTGCCTTTTTCTTTTCAATATTGACTGAATTTATTTGAAAAACTTTGCATTTATAGCCCATCTCTTAGTGGTTAGGTATTTTGTCTCTAATCACATGCTTTCCAGTAGGGCTGTCAAAACTAGTAGGGCTGTCAAAACTGCTCGTTGTTCTCGAACGGCTCATATTCAGATTTGTTCGGCTCGTTCGCTAAGTTAACAAGACGAACACGAATAAAGATTTGTTTGTTCTTGTTCGACTCGTTTTGGCTCGAAATACTACTTATTGAGATATATATATATATATTATATATATATATATTGATGAATTGTATTTTTAAAAAAAATTATTCACTACAAGGCTACCAAAAATTATAATTAATTAAAAGTATTAATTAAGAAAATAGAATAAAAATTATTAAATTGGATTCAAATGTTGTTTTAAATAAACAATTGTTTTTAAATATTGTCCCAACCCTTAACTTCTTATGATTGTTTGATTAGGATTGTCAAAACGACTCTTTATTCGTGAACAGCTCGTGTTCCGCTCATTTGCGTAGCGGGCCGAACACAAACATGAACACACTTTTTTATATTGAATACAAACATGAGTCGACAAATATTTATATACACTTTCATCCTTCCACACATATTTGCATATATACCATATTCATATATTTCCATATGTACCCCTTAAAAACCACTCTTTCACATTTACCCCCCTCCAACGTTTACTCAATACAACAATATATACCACTATCACTTCACACGTACTTAATAATATATATATATATATATATTGATATATATCAGCATAAAATATATATATATATATTTTTTGTATTGCATCAATAATTTGCAGGGATATGTATAAAAAATATTATTGAAACAAATTTACAGATTAAAATAAGGCTTCTCCAACAACTCCTTTGACAACAACATACGTGGCAGCATTCAATACAGTAATTAGTGACTCATGAAGAATAAAAAAAAAATAAGTTTTTTTCTTGCTCTTTCATATATATTTATATGGTTAATAAATTTCGCCAAAAGCTCTTCATTTGGTTAAAACCCTTCACAACTCGAGAAAAAATTGCATTATAAGACGTTTGCAGAGCTGCATACATCAGAGGTTATTCAGAGGATATTGGGGAGTTGTAGTTAGGTTACAGAGATGTTACATGGTGTATAACACGGATATAATCCCCCAATACCCTCTGAATAAGTTCCGATATACGCAGCTCTGCAAACCCCAAGTTGGCTTTTACATAAATTTATATCTTATAAAATCATATTTATGAAGAATATATAATCAAACATATAATTTAAATAAAAGTGGAAAGTCGTACTGAAAATTTTGATAATATTAATTATTATTAAATGATGTGATTGAGATTTCCTTCATATTTATGAGTCGTAATTAATGAGGAAAGAAATTAGTCATTTTGCACATTTAGCATGGCCTTTGGATGCCTTCTGATTGTCGCTATCTAATTAATATTGGAGCCATATAACCGTTGGTCTAGTGCTGGAAGCAGCAAGTGAATTATGAATATTACAGTACTTAATTTTGACAAAGTGTGTTTGTTTGAATGACCACAGATGAACAGTACACAGCATTCACTTTCTGCAGTTACTAAAGCTCACTCGCTATTATATCAAGGCTCGCTATTATATCAAGGCTCTGGATGCATTCGGGTTCTATGATGGGGCGTCACTTGTCAAGTGAGCTCCACCATTTTTAATACTAATCAATGTCAGTGTATTGCGGTGTGGCCCACTTGATACGTGACTCTCCATCATTGAACTCCTAATACAAGTTATGTTAGGAGTCCTGATGTAATGTTTTCTCCGTTTTAGAAGGCAGTTATTATTATTATTATTATTTTACCGTAAGATTCCACAATAAAACATTGGGCTGTTAAGACACACACACAGATATATATATATATATATATATATAATATATATATATAACACCTGAAATAATGCTATTTATAAATCTAGCATTCATTTTCATCCATTTTTTAAATTTTCACTCAAATATAAAAATTCATGATAAATCTTCAACCCAAATTTTTTAAATTTTTATCATATTCTTGATGTTTTGATCATGACACGTGTAAATATATCGATTCGATAGTCTAAAAATATGATACGAGTTTTAGATTTTTGTAAATAGTAATGTTTCGAGTGCTATGTATGGAACTATCCTTAAAACATTTAATCAAACTTTAAAACTCTTTGTGTGCAGGGGGGCTTATTCTCTCTCGGAGGAAAATGGTTGGAATACATCTTTGATGAAGAGGGTGCCATCACATGAACTCGTTAGAAGTGAAAGCTTCTTAAACAATGAAAATCAGAAGGTAATTGGTGCATTTAACAAATATATTTCATTTAATTTTTGCATAAATGGAAGCCCATGCTATATTTAACTTTAGAGGGCTACTTAATCATTCTCTAATGGGATGTTTAGTAGCATGTTATTTAATGGATTTAGTTGACGTAAATCCGGATTTATTAAGGTAACGTAAAATCAAGTTGCAGCCAAACACGTCCTTAGTGTTAATGAATAAAAGAAGTTAATTTTGTTAGAATAACTGATGATCAGCTCGTACATTATTATTTGAGGAGAAATAAGGTGTGGTCGAATAATTTTTTATATATGAAATGATTATTTTTCCATCATTTGTTACATACCAAGGTAACATCATCATTTCATAATTTCATTTGGATTTAACACGAAATGTAACTGGATAGGTTTGGAAACAGAGTTTTAGACCTCAAAAATCATCATGTAGCAATTATAAGCAGTGCTTAAATATAAGTTATATGCCATTAGTAATGGGTAATTAAGGAAATAAAACTATAGATGAAATTCACATTTAAAATGTTTATTTGTCTACCCTATAAGTTAGCTAAGATAATAATAAACTTGATTAATGATCGTTAAAAGAAAAATAACATGGCAAAACTACATGAAATTTATAATGATATTTATTTTAATAAATTATTTACATTTTAACAATTTCATGATAGGGTTGGTGTAGCTCAAATGACGACAAAAGTAGAAAGAGTCATCTTAGATGGTTTGGCCACTTTAAACGTGGACTATCTGATGATTCGATTAAGAGAGTGGATATTTTAGATTTGACTTACGTTAAGAAAGACAGATGTAGACTACAAAAGTCTTGGGTGTATTGTATAAAAAAATGATCTTAATTTATTAGAATTAAATGATAAAATGACACTCAATAGGACGCAATGGAGAAAAAGGATTCATTTAGCCGCAACTTAGTGAGATAAAAGTTTGTTGTTGTTGGTGGTGGTGTATATCAATTTCATTATAGTTTTTATTCAAATAAATCATCACTTTTGACAAAATTTTAATGCCATGTCTAATATTACTTTCCTATAATTTAATTAATAGTTAAATGCATCCAATCACTTGGAACAAAACCATGCACATTGTAGATTTGCTTTTGTTTGCTAGTGTATCTTTCATGAATGTATTAACATTAATATTGATATTATATATTTTAAATTTGTTATATTTATAATTTCTTTTTTATTCCCTATATATATAGCCTAATGATAAATGACAATTATTATGCTATAATTGATGCAGGAAAGATGGGGAAAAGAAGATATAAGAGCATTAAATGCATCAGTGCAATCACAGATGAATGGAAGCAATGTGACTAATGAGAGACTTTTCTCCTCCAATACCAATAAGTACATGATGAAGAAGATGCCCAATCTAGAAATCACTTTAGGAAGACAAAGCTGGCAATTGGAATATACTGACTCTTCAAATGTTGAACTAACTCTTCTCAAGTGTTTGTGAGATTGAAAATGATTAATTTTTTTTTTTAATTAGGTTGAAAGTTAATGTAGGAAAACTTGTTTTATTATGCCGAAGTTGAATTGAGGTTTGTTTGTAGTCAAGAAATTGAGGGGAAAAAAATATTGATTAATTCATACATCTTATAGTTGATTTGATTGCATAGAAATTTAGTTTTGAGGAGAATTGTTGGAGGTTTAGCATCTGTTAGATCCAATTATATTGATTTAATTTTCAAAAGGTTTTAGCTTAAGAAGTTAAAAATGATTCACCCACTTTCTCACAAACAAGAAATATAATAATTTGTTTCAAAATATTCATCATAATTGACAATGGCTAGTAGATAAACTGGCTTCTCATACTAAATTTTGGTTTGCTTTAAAAAAAGTGATGCTCTAAAGCATATGTAATTTATTTTATTTTATTTATTTTTATTTGAGGAGTCAAATAGTTTATATGGCGTGGGAGTCATTTATATATATTTTCACGACTTAAGGCATTTGCTGATATCATAGCAATGCTTAGCAAATTATAGTGCATAAGATATATTTATCCCTCAAGGGTGAAATATGATATGCTCATTTGGGTGTACCAATGGCTTTAGCATGTTTTTTATGATGATATTTTTATATCTTTTCAAAATGAAAAATGATGTTTCTCTTTATGAGTCTTAGTAGCATGCATTTAAATGAATTTAAAGCCATCCATACGTGGACACATTTACCAATTTATTTTAGGCACAAAGTGACTTTGCATGGCTAACCTATATATCTTAATGTACAAAAGTTCAACTAAGATCTATTCAAAACTTGTGTTATCATATTTTAGATCATTTATCTTATTATTTGATCAATCAAGTTTGGGTTTGATCATAGCTTTGCAAAAAACCATTTTACCATTTATTTTTTAATTCATGAAGCTCTAAAATTATCTTAGTATGATATTTTTTTGAAATTAGTATAGGTTCTTGATCTATTATTAAAATTTCACCATAAAGGCATATAAGAATTTTAAAATCCAGCATTAGAGAAAGCATCAATTTAATGGGATCCTTAAGAGTATTTTGGCCAATTTTCCATCCTAACAAATAATTATTTTAATTATTTTGAGCCCTCTAAGAAACATAAATCCATTAACATGTGTATTAATCAGAGGCAGACCCAGGAAGGGTCTAAGTAGGCAATTGCCTCCCGCCTCAAATTCATATTTTTGCTTGTACTGGTGGCCAAGTTGGTATTTTACCCCTCCAAAAATATCAGTTTTGCCCTTTCTGAAATGTCACTTTGCCCTTCATTGCCCTAGCCTCTCCCACGTTAGGTGTAGAGGGAGGTTTGACCCCACTAAAAAGAGTATTAATGTATTTTAATATTTTTGGTAAATTGATATTTTTTTTCAATATGCTAATCTACTTATCAAGTACAATCATGTTTATTGATGCATCGGTACAATTACAATTATACTAACCAATATCTTAATCTTCTCTATTTTTACCAATGAACAAGTTTGTCATAACATAGTTGTTGGATCAACTTTGAGCCAAATTTATCAACATATTTTTAAGATGATTTGTTGTGAAATCTTTTAAGTGGGAGTTATCCCTTAGCTAGTCATTTGTACGTGTAGACCACTTGATCTAGCCATAAACTCTCCCTTATGAATTGGTTCATCTATGACATTTTATAACATTATATTGACCATACACACAGTTTCACCAGATTTTACTCAAAATAAATCCTCATTAGCAAACTAATGTGCTATAATCACATAACAAAATTATTACCCATCCCATATCAATCATTTTATTTTCATTTGATTTCCTTCTCTTTATCATGCCAACTAAAATATTTGTCTCTATACAACTAATGTGAGAATTTAATAGTGACCTTACACTATAGCAAACTTTTAAAAATCGGTGATAAATCGACGAACATAATGCATCAGTTTTTTCAGGACTGAATTTGTTGTTAAACACCTATTTTTGAGTTTTGCCTGATCAACATTAAACTATCAGTTTGTTCCTACTAACTTGTCTTTGGCTGAATTTCTCACTGGCAAAGTGCCTTATAACCGATAGAATATCAACACTTTCTTTCGGCTAAAAATCTCACAAATAAATTAAAAAAATATCAGACGATCAATTGCTTCTAGTATAATTAATTTTGGCTAAACCTTTTGTCGTTAATCCACAAGTTTCTTGATTAAGTATTGAGCAATCGCTCAAAAGCTCTCTTTTATATTTTCCTCTCCTTATGTGTGTGAGCTCTCAACTGATGATCTCTCCCCTTAGATTTGACTCTAATGTCTTCAACATTCTCTCTGGTCTTTTTCTTTTTTTTCAAATTTAAGGTGAAACTCGTTCGATCTCACTCAATTCACCACAAATTCTATTTTTACATTTTTTTCATTAAATATTCATTCTTAAGAGATTTAATTTTTTTTATCAAATATTAAATTTATCATTAATTTTTTGAAAATTGTCCATGTATTTCGTTAATCACACATTATTGTTGTATTTAGGGTTTAGATTTTTTTTTTCTGAAAGATTTACCACTCAACTCCAATGCATTTACAGATGTAACAGCCACATTTCCACTAGTTTGTTTTTAAGGTCTAGGTTTTTGTATGAATAGATGTCTTTCACTATTTAATATTGAAAATGGTAGCATTTATGATGTTATATGATAGTTTAGGTGTTATAAATGTGTGTGAAATTTATATGCATACCAATCAATTCCTATGTGCTTGCATATCTAACACATAAACTTCAATTTATAAATACATACCACCATTCCTACTCATGAAAAAGTGCATGTCAATTTTTTGAGAAGTTGAAGTGTTCGTACATGAAAGTATTAGGCAGTATAAATGTAAAAATTAAATTTTAGGAGTTAGATATCTAAATAGATAAGAATTGAGTGGTACTTATATGTGTAAATGGCTCTAAATGTAAATGTAAAGTTTGTCATATATATGTAAAGACTTAAGGATTTTGTGGAATCTATTTAAATACCTCTAAAATTTATAGGTCTTGCTATAAATATGCAAATGTAGGAATACATAGGAATTGGGTAGTATGTATGTAAATGCCCCTTATATTTTTAGTTTTGACAATATTATTCAAGTTTTGGTATTAGATATGTAAATACGTAGGACTTGGGTGGTATGTATGTGAATGCCCCAAAAATTATTAGTTTATATATAAGTATGTAACTTTAAGTATTTAGATATGTAAATACACAGAAACTGGGTTGTATGAATGTAAATGCCTCCTATAGTTTTGGTTTTGATACCACTATGCAAGTTTAAGAGTTAGATATGAAAATATATAGGATTTGGGAAGTATGCATGTAAATGCCCCTTTAATTTAAAATTTGGGTATTAATATGAAATTTTAAATGTTAGAGAATTCACCCTCTAAGCCTCTAGTTTGAATTGATGTGTGAACGAGATCTTGATATTGTCCATAACAGATAACATTTCAGGCACATATGTCACATGATGCACCATTCCAAAAAATATTATTACTCGTATAATAACATACTATCCAATTACATAGTTATAAAACATTCCTAATGCACCTAGTGTGTGAAACGACTCATATAACATTTTCTTAATGCTCATCTTACACATTGTAAGCCATAATTTTGAGAATTTTATTTTTATTAATCTATAGAGCGCCAATGGATGTCTGGAATATAGAATTATAAACATACAATAGATTGAATCCAAGCAAAAAAATATTAAGTGATGAATTTCTTGAATGGTGGTTAGTATTTCGTGCAAGTGGCATCACCGCTTCTTTCTTTCCTTTCAAAGGGTAAGTTTAAATGCCCATGTGTGAAGCACAATAATCAGATGTTTTTTACTCTAGAAAAAATAAAGTTGGATTTATACTGTAGGAAATTTCAATCAGATTATTAATTTTGGACTTCACATGATGATTTTAAATTGCACATTGATTATCAAGCTGATACTTTAATTAGCTATGCCCCTTCAAGTAAGTAGTATTCCACTATATTGAAGAAAGGACCTTTGATGTAATAAGAGTTCAATTTACTGACAAAGTTGATAAGGAGGATCCACCAAGAAGAGAAGCTCAAAAATTCTATAAATTATGTTTTATCGCGCAACACCCACTATGAGAAAGTTGCACCACCCATTCTTGAGTTATAAGTGTCTCTTAGTATATTGAGTATTAAAGCAGACCATCATATATTTTGAGAATATTTTAACTATAATATAGGATTATCGAATGAGGCAAATTCAATGAAAATTTTAGTATCATATGACATGTATAGAATAAAAAAATTGGTGTCAAAGTTATGGTTGATATGAAAGAAGATAGATTAGTGTGTTAATGACTATATAATATTTACAAAGCCAACACATTGGACATTCAATTTAAGTTTTATGGTAGTCAAAGATTCAAACCATAGAGTAGAAAAAATTAAAAATAAAGAAATAATTCATACAAGTGTCTCTCAACTTGTCACTCATTTCTTATCTTCAACGATTGTTTGTCTTTATGTGTATTACTAAACATATGAGATGACATAATAAGAGGGCAGATAAATTTAGTTCTTTGAAGTATCCAATATATGGATAAATATGGAAGTATTTTGATCATAGTTATTTCCATTTTATAGTAATGTCATGTAATAATTGAATTAGTTTGTGTTTGAATGACCTTACACTATTGAATTAGGTTTGTTGGCATCATCGTTTGATGCCACAAGTATGCTTCACGCACGTGCGACCTCCCAAGGCCCAAGACATCTAATTTCAATCCTTTTGACACATGGTCAAAGTGTGCTTTGCTAGGGTCTGGTTTTCACTAAAGTAAACGTTGATCAACATACTTCTGTCGAACGCCATCAACTGAACCAATATATTTTGCTCGACATGATAAAAGTAAATCGGGCTGTGATTAGGCCTACTCATAGGTAAACGTCATTCAGATGACCCCGAATTGTGAAGTAAAAAGTGTGGATGATTTTTTAACATTGTTTTCCCTTAGGGTAGGCTTTCTTGAGTTTCAATGTGGGCACGCTAGTCTTGTAGTGTGACCACACAAATTTTAGGTGTGGCCAAGTTAGTTCATCCCTTATTTG